AAATTATTACTGAGAGACAAAACAACACAAAAATAAAACCCACGACTCTTCTAAAGACCGTTAAAGTACAAACGGTCTGGCAAACACACTAAAATCAGACTTTTGCAACGCTTCGTCAATGCGTTGCGATTAAATTAATTTTTGTCTCTGAAGTATTTCATTCGATTCTCCATACACAATTAACTAAAAATCTCAAATTTTTATCGGTCAAAGTTGAACAAATGTGATAATAATAACAGCAAGAAAAAAGAAGAATTAGAAATTTGTTTTCTGAAAGTATGTTCGATTCTCACACAAACACAAGTAGTTTTCAGTGTTTTAACCATACAAGGAATAAAATTTAACCAATATGTGTAAATATTTTCTGTTTACGAAAACAAGCTCTTAAGTTTTGGCTATCGAACAGTGACAGCCGTGAGTCTTCTACTTTCGTTCGACAGTTATTCAAAGAATCGCCACCGGTCTTATATTTTTGTTTCGATAATAGGTATTGTTCTTATACATGTTTAGTTTTACTTTTGGCTTCGCCTGTTTCTTTAAGTTTATGTCTCTGTATAGTTATTTGTCGGCGATAAACCAAGTATATTAAAAAAATTCAGTATGGGTATATGGTCTAGTCGGTGTGCCACAATGGAATTGAATTTAGAGTAATCTCTAAGCAACGCAGCACCGGCTATTCACATGCACTCTCCCTGTCCTCAATGAATGATTTTCTCGATCAAACTCTTCCCATGAAATAATTTTGATACTCTAACGCGCGTTAGCAGGCGTTGAACAAAAGAAAAATTTAATGCGTGCATACTAACTAAATACTGTTGAATGCGTGCAAATGCGTTATTTTTCAAACTTATGTGGGACTTCAATTATGAGAAATTAATTATAACGCACCCAAATGCGCTTTCATGAAAAACTATGAAAACGACGTTCAGAATCGTTAATCACGAAACTTTTTTAACTCTAATGCGTTAGAATCGCGCTAAATGTTTCATATTTGGTGATTCTAACGAGTTAGAATTTGTAGTGCGTGATAAGGCCTTCACTTAATCGAAAATCGTTCAAACTCGTTAAAAATTGAACAAGTTAGCTTCCTGGATGCATTTACACTCGTTAGAATAATACTTCGGACCAGAATGTAATTTTAACGCGTACTTTTACGCATGGAAATTACGTTTACGCTGTTATTTTAAAATAGTCTGTTAGTATACAACATACCTCCTTAATCTGATGTAGGATTGAACTCATTTATGTTTAAAAGTTCATCTTCTTCATCAGATATTCCATAATCAACATCGTATTGATCAGAACGTACTATAGCTTCACGAAGATGTTCAATATGAATTCTTGTTAATGGTAATAACATTTGACATACACGCTTTATTAACCCTTGACAGCTGTTCTCATTTTTGGGCTTCATGGCTGCTTAGGAGCCCGGTTGGACCCACACGGGAACGTATGGGAGATGTTCAAGCTTTTTACCATTTGATTGAAGCTTTTCATGCATGGATCAATGGTCTACATCATGCTCCTTCTGGATGAATATGTTGATACCGGTGCAGGGTATGTAAACGTATATTATTTATAAAGACATTTTTGGAAACGGTATTATAATTAGGCATGCATCAGTTTATAACTGCTGTTGGAGCATCCGGGAAAATTTGTATACATCGGTTATCAAGATTCGCCCATAGCTGCGGAACGTCTCATTTTGTAGAAAAATATTTGCTCTACCAACGCGCCGCCAGCGCGGCTCTAACACGGGTGGAAATCGTAATTACACCATCATGGTTGTTATCGGGTCCGTGCGGACCCACATGCTAGTTTTTGTTTGTAAGACTCATTCATGAGACTTGATATAGGTAGTGTGCATGGATAGAAGCTTGACGATTAGGAAAGAGAGCAGCTCGAAAGAGATGAGTACTGCCGAGTAAGAAACAAAAAACTGCACAGTGGATCCGACTGAACCCTCGAACAGCTGTCAAGGATTAAGCCCCATCCACCTCCGGGTCAGAAACCTATCAGTCCAGGTAAGTCTGACCTGAATTAAACTTTCAGGAAATGTTGACTGTGTCAAAGTGTGGTGACAAAACTTTTAATGGCGCT